CTTACAGTTATTTACTATTTTATAAGACAGCCAAAGATATACAGTGAAAAAGCCTCTTCAATAATTGGTGGTGGGAAAACTGGACATTCATATACAGAAAACTAAAAGTGGATCCCTATCTATCACCATGCACAAATATCAACTCAAAGTGGATCAAAGACCTCAACATCAGACCTGAAACTTTGAAATTACTGCAAGAAGGAATAGGAGAAACACTGGATTTATAGGCATAGGAAGATTTTGTTGTTGTTGGTTGTAGGGCCTGAACTCTGGGCCTGGGCGCTGTCCCTCAGCTCTTCAGCTCAAGGCTAGTGCCCTACCACTTGAGCCACAGCGCCACTTCTGGCTTTTTCTGCTTATATGGTGCTGAGGAATCAAACTCAGGGCCTCATGCATGCAAGGCAAGCACTCTACCACTGAGCCACCTTCCCAGCCCCCAAAGGCAGAAATTTTTTGAAAAGAGTCCCAGGGGCTTAGCAAATAAAAGAAAGATTTGACAAATGGAATTATATATAAAAAAAATTCTTCACCACAGCAAAGGACATAGTTACTAAAATACAAAGACAGCAAACAGACTGGGAAAAGATTTTTAGCAGAAATACATCTGACAAAGGCCTAATTTCCAATATATGCAAGGACCTCAAAAAATTAATCCCCGAAACTAATAAACCAATCAATAAATGGGCAAATGAGCTAAAGAGAGACTTCTCAGAAGATGTAAAAATGGCAAATAAACACATAAAGAAATGTTCAATATCCCTGGACATAAAGGAAATGAAAATCAAAATAAGTTTGAGATTTTTGTCTCACCCCAGTTAGATTGGACAAGAGCAAGAATTCAAACAACTAATGCTGATGGTGATATGGGGGGAAAGTAACCCTATGGCACTGTTGGTGGGAATGTAAACTAGTACAACCACTCTGGAAGGCAGTTTGAAGGTTCCGCAAAACACTAAACATCGAACTACCCTATTACCCAGCCATACCACTTGTCAGCATCTATTCAGAATAGTACAATAGTCAGGATATCATAAAGATACTTGCACATTCATGTTCATTGCTGCACTATTCACCATAACCAATTTATGGAAACAGCTCTGATGCCCTTCAACAGATGAATGGATCCAAAAAATGTGGTACCTACCACAATGGAATTTTACATAGTCATTAGAAAGAATAATATTGTGTCATTTGCAAGGAAATGGATGGACCTAGAACAAATCATGTTAAGTGAGGTAAGCCAAGCTCAGAGAAACAAACAGCCCATGTTTTCTTTCATATGCAGAAGCTAGATCTAAAATACACTGAGACATGATAACTTATATAGGACCCTAAGCATTCGTACACAGTGAGACCAAAAGAGGATACTCTTAGGGAACAAACACAAAAGTCCAATGCCTATGTGCCTGTGATCATATAAAATAATATTTCTTGAAATGAACTCCAGGAAATGGAAACAAGAGGTTTTACCTTCATTTCTTTTGTTTTTGTACTGTTTATTCATTTATCTGTCTTTGGGAGGGTAAGGGAGAGAACAGAAATGGAGGGACAATGGGTGAACAAATGCAGCAGTGGTACTTACTCACTAGACACTATGTTGAAAATGAACTATACAACTTGTGGATGGGGATGGGAAGGAAAAACTGGGAGAGAGCAAGGGAAAGGGTGACATTGTCCAAAAAGAAATGCATTCATTAGCTAACTTATGTAACTGTAACCCCTCTGTAAATCACCTTTATAATAACAATAAAAATTAAAGAGAGAAAAGTTTCCTCAATCATTTCTACAAACTTAGGATCCAGGATTTTTGTGTGTGTGTTTTTTTCCATATTAACAGACCATATTTCTCATCCGTTGCTCAGAAGCAACCAGTAATTGAAAGTAAAGGGTAGTAATCAAGCAAACAAATAAGAAATTAATCCATTAGTCAGGTAGACTAATCCAGTCCTAACTGTGTTCTTTTCCCAAAGCCCTCCCTAGGTACTCAGTTTTCCATACCTACGCTACTATATATATGTGATAATAAGTTCAAAAGAGAGAAAAGCATAAAGAGCAGGTCATTCTGTAACCCTTTCCCCCTCATTCCCATCCACAGAGGCAGTCATTATTACTAGTATCTCAGAAGAGTATGTGATAAACTCATGGTCAGATCCTCTTAAAATCTTTTTAAATTTTATAAAAATGTTAGCACAATAGACTTCAGTATCTTGCTATTGTCATTCTATCTTGGAGATTGCTCATTAATATATACACAGTTCTCACCGAGTGATAGTGAAAATTTGCAACACCTGGATCAGGTGTTGTCAGGTATTGTCTCTCTGGGATTTATCTCTATGATATGGAAGAATGAGTCCACAGAGAGGAAGAAGAGGTAAAACTGCAAAGATTCATTAGACAGTTCTTGGACAGTCTGCAGGCTGTATCAGTCCCCAGTCCCAATCAGAGGCTCCCTGCAGCTTGTACTAGCTTTCCATGTGTCTTTTAACTTCTCTGACTGGGTGCCTGTTTTGGCGCACACCTCCGGGGTCCAATCAGTCTAGTTGTTCACATGTGAGTCTTGCAGAGGCACTGTGTTAGGATCCTACATGGGTGACTTGGCCTTGGTGAGGGATGTAAGAAGCCCTATGGGATGGATCTTTGCCCTGACTCCCTAGCCAGGTTCTTTTTCTGCTCTCGTACATAGTATTTTGTCCACAAAAGAACATGATTAAGGTTAAGGTATAGCCAGGGACTATGTAGGTCACAACTAAATCCTAGCTAGTCAGGAGGCTATAATCTGAAGACCTTGATTCAAAGCCAACCCAGGCAGAAAAATCCCAAGATTCTGCTTAACCAAAAAAAGCCAGAACTGGAGATACAGATAAGTTGGTAGAGTACTAAGCAGTGGGCAAAATTGCCCAGTTGAGAGTTCAAGGCCTTGAGTTTGAGCCTCAGAACTAGCACGTTCTCTCTCGCTCTTACACACACACACACACACACACAAACACACACACACACACAAAATGTTAGTTATAATAGGTTGAAGCTTCAGTTCTCCTTCTGATGTTTTTGCAAATCCATAAAGGCAGGCTTTGGGGGGTGGGCTTGAACTCAGGGCCTGGGTACTGTCCCTGTGCACTTCTGCTCAAGGCTAGCACTATACCAGTTTGTGCCACAGCACTGCTTTCCAACTTTCTGGTGGTTAATTGGAGATAAGAGTCTCATGGACTTTCCTGATCAGGCTGGCTTTGAACTGTAATCCTCAAATCTCAGCCTCCTGAGTAGCTAGGATTACCCTCGTGAGCCAACAGCACCCTGAAAAGCCAGACTTTATATAACCTCTAATCAAGAAATGATCTTCCAACTCTGATAAGGATTGCAGCTTCATTTTTGGATTCTGTGCTGTTCAGACATCTTACCTACTTCTCAATTCCAATTTCCAACATCTCCTCTTTAAAATGTGTTTATATGGGTTTTCTTCTTTTCTTTCTCTCACAGAACTCACTCTAATCTCTCCTAAACTAGGATCCAGGTGAGATCTGGTCCTATCCCTCTCTATTTTCATTCTTATTGAGCCCATCTCACCTGGTCAGTCAGGTCTTTTCCTGTCCATTCAAGGCTCCATATCTTCATTTCTCCCCCATCTCAATGTTTTCATTTCTTTCTGACTCTTTTCTCTGTTTCTCCCTCTCCCTCTCCTTCTCCTTCCCCCCCCCCCCCCGCCTCTCTATGTATGTGTGTATGCATGCTTGAATGCTAGTATCAAGGCTTGAACTCTGGGGCTCCTGCTTTCACTCAGCTTTTTGGCTGACATTGCTCTACTGCTTGAACCACACCTCTACTTCTTGTTTTTTACAGGTTAATTGGAGATAAGAGTCTTAGGATTTATCTGCCCAAACTGGCTTCCAATCTTATTCCTTAGCTTTCAGCCTCCTGGGCAGCTAGGATTATAAGCATAAACCACCTGTGCCCAGCTCCATCTCCTTTTTGAAATTAATCTAGCCACTATGGAAATGTGTGGGGATTTCTTAAGAAACCAAAAATAGGACTACCATATGATTCTATTATATCACTTTGGGGCATGTGGAAATTATTTGGATGGAAATTCCTTTTGTGGACTCTGAAAAGAAGACCCAAGGCACAGTGTATTCTAAACGTAATGGCTAAGTCCAGCCTGCTGAAACCTCCAATGAAAAAGTTGACACAAGTTGGTGATGTTTAACATTTGTATTGGTCTTTATTGTGAAATGAAAAAAGTGAGGAAAATAAAGCTTAACTAATATTGTCTGGTAATATATTTACAAGAATGATTAGAATATTCCAGACATGAAAATGTACACTTTAGCTCCACTTAGCAGAAGTATGTGGTAGAATGCATGGCAGGCATTAAGAAAAATGGTTGTAAGCATAACTCACTGGTAAGCAGGTTCTGAGTAGATCACTAGATTACCTAGATACAGGAGCCTATAAACCAGGCAACAGTCGTGAACACTAAGTGTGAGTTTGATGCAAATGTTTATTATTGTTTATATTCTAGCAGTTTCTCAAATTAGAAATCAAGTGTCATTTGTTAGGATAATGGTGAATTTCTACAACAACGAATAAAGACCATTTACTGTGTGAGGACTGGAGACAGGAAGCTATCTTATTCAGTTTGCTTTTCAAGAAAAAAAAAATTCCAAACATATAGATCTGTTACAAATTCTGGTGATTTTCTGTAGTTGGAGACCAACAGCAACCAGACAAAAGCCATGGATTTACGGTAATGAGGTGCATGCTTAGCGAATACACTATTTTTCATTTCTTGGCAAAATTTGCTCCTACTGGATTACTAGGTAAAATGCATTGTGACATATATTTGGACACCTTTTATATTGAGACTACCAAGAAGAAGCATGTATTTTTCAGTCTGCTAGTAACTTATGGTTGAAGTTTAATGATTGAAAATGCCAATTTTTAAAGAAGGAGCGCAACCGTACAACTACTTAGCGATCGACGTTTTCTGCCTGAGCACTGTGGTCTCAAACTTTAGCACCATGAACAGCGGCCACCCAGGTCTCTCCAGGGTTTCTGGAAGAAACTGGGTTATTAGTTTCCCTGATCATCCTCTCTTGCTCCGCTTCAATGGCTTCTCCTGTGAAATATAACACAGCTCTTGGGATGACAAAGGTGCACAAAGTATGAGCGATGAAAACATCTTCCTCATTTTCCTCAGCATCCAGGCACCACCTAAGAGCATTGAAGAAATTGAAGGACTCTCGAGGAAATTCCTGAGTGGTGGTATGCATCAGTCCCCAAAACCTGTGCCTCTCCTTTTTCAGGACCATTTGCACAGTGACGTTCGGCCCTCCTTCCAGTCTATCTTGCAACCAACACAATGCTCCACAGCTGAGCCCCTGAATGGGTGGGGGTCTGAGTAATCAAGCTTGGACTTGAGTGTGTATGTTTTGGTGAGCACTTCATTTGTGAGGTAGTCATTAGGTTCAAAGTGAAATTCTAGCGTGAAGGCGAGCAGCTCATTGGGTTTGGAAAACTTGACTTTCACATCTTGCAAGAACTTCAGAATGGGCTCATCGTACTTCTTAATCAGAGGAGTGAGCTTGTGAATATTCGTCAAAACAGTGAGCCAAAAATCGGGGATCCCTTTAGGATCCTCTTTTTTCCTCGTCTATATTATGTGCCTCCATCTCGTCATACTCTCCAAACACGTCCTGTGCATCCACGGAGTCCTCCTGACAATACTCCTCCAAGTCTTCATAGTCTAGATTGTCCTGCAGACCATGCAATTTGACCTCTGGGTCATCTGCCACTTCGTTACAGTTAAAGTCCATGTCCTTGGACTTGTCCTCACACTCCTCTTTCGTGGGCTCATACAGGGCATTGATGATCTGGCGTCTCTTCTCCAATAAAGGGCCATAGATCCTGGCAAACTTCCTCTCGCTGGAATGAAATTCTCTGAGGTACTTGGCCTCGAGGCCAGCTGATTTGGCCTGGAGCTTTTTAAGAGCATACACTCGGCACTTGACAGCCAGCGGCAGAGTCTCAATAAAGTCAGCATTAAAAGAAGAACCTGAGGCTGCCACTGCACACAGCAGCGGGCCCAGGTCGCCTGCAGCACCCTGTTCCCCAAACCCTTCCATCTTTAGGTTTTTGGCAGGCAAAGACTCACCGAAGTGAAGGAGACAGCTTGGCATGGCATGGGCCTCAGGCAGCAAGGGCTAAGACGCAGGCAGAAGTGGCAGTGGCTGCTCCTGCAGAGGGGAAGGGAGCAGCAAGGGATTCGGTGGGTGCCAGACCATAACCAGCCCAGACTGCAGTGTCGACCAAACACATTTGCTACCTGCTGCCGTGGCAAACGGAGGAGGGGTGCCACGCAGATTGTGGAAAAGATGAAGTGTAAACCCTTTTCTTTTTTCTTTTGCATTTTAGCTTACCCTATTTGCTGATCAACTGTGATCGACAATCTGTCGTCCAATAAATGAGTAGATCATTACACCTCTAGCACCACCCACCTTCCATGTGGCTGTGGCTCTCAGAATTTCTAGCTAGCACTGAGAGATTTGCAGAGAAAAACTAGGTGCAAGAGGAACTGGCTGTAACTGTTCTAACGTGAATGTTAAATAAACTGGGGGCGGGGCGGGAGGGGGACATACTTTTAACTTAGAAGAGCAAAGGAAAGAGGTGAAGGGAGTTTTTAGATGCTAGAAATGTGGCTGGAAAACATTATTCATATACATGAACAAAAGAGGAGGAGAAAAACACCAAAATAGTAAAGATCTTTAGGTAATGATATCACCCATTGATTAATTGCCTTTTCAAAAGTTCTATATAATGCTAATAAGTTTGAGAACTTGGCAGAAATGGACCTTTTCCTAGCAAATATTGACATGCCGAAACTAAACCAAGATGAGTTAAACCATCTTAACAGGCCCATATCAAGCATTGAAATAGAAACAGCAATAAGAGACCTCCCACCTAAGAAAAGCCCAGGACCAGATGGTTTTACAGCGGAATTCTACAAGTACTTCAAAGCAGAGGTCATGCCAATACTCCTCCAACTCTTCAATGAAATTGAAAGAGAAAGTTCACTACCGAACTCATTCTATGAAGCCATCATAACCCTCATCCCAAAACCAGGCAGGGACTTATCAAAGAAAGAGAACTATACACCCATTTCTTTGATGAACATTGATGCAAAACTTCTCAACAAAATTTTGACCAATCAACTTCAACAATTCATCCAAAAAGTCATACACCATGATCAAACAGGATTCATTTCAGGGATGCAAAGCTGGTTCAATATACCCAAATCAATTAATATAATTCATCACATCAACAAGAGAAAGGATAAGAAACACATGGATATCTCAATAGATGCAGAAAAAGCATTTGACAAAATCCAACACCCCTTTCTGATGAAGGTTCTGGGAAAATTAGGAATCCATGGAACATTCCTCAATACAATAAAGACTGCATATGACAAACCTACAGCCAGCATTATACTTAATGGTGAAAACCTAAAGCCATTTCCTCTTAACTCAGGAACAAGATAAGGATGTCCACTCTCTCTACTTCTCTTCAATCTAGTATTAGAATGCCTAGCTACAGCAATAAGATAAGATGCAAACATAAAGGGGATCCAAATAGGGAAAGAAGAAGTAAAACTCTCCCTCTTTGCAGATGACATGATCTTGTATTTAAAGAATCCCATGGACTTCACTCCCAAATTACTCAAGCTGATTCAAAACTTTGGCAAAGTAGCAGGGTATAAAATTAACCCTCAAAAATCAATGGCTTTTCTGTATGCCAACAATGAGAAAAGTGTGGCTGAAATTAAGAAGCAACTCCATTTGTAATAGCCCGACAAAAAATAAAATACCTAGGAATTAACTTAACCAAAGAAGTGAAGGACCTCTATGATGAAAACTTTAAAAACCTGAAAAAGGAAATCAAAACAGAACTTAGAAAGTGTCAAAAACTCCCATGATACTGGATTGGAAAGATCAACATCATGAAAATGGCAATACTTCCCAAGGCTATCTACAAATTCAATGCGATACCTATCAATATTCCAAACTCATTCTTCAAGGAAATAAAAGAGGCAATCCAAAAATTCATATGGAACAATAAAGGACCCCGAATAGCAAAAACAATCCTCAACAGAAAGAACAGTGCTGGAGGAATATCAATACCAAATTTCAAACTCTACTACAAAGCCATAGTAATCAAAACAGTTTGGGAAGATGGCGACGGGGCAGTAGGGAAACGCCACAGCTCTCTCCAACCAAAAAGAGAGTTCGAGTTCCAACGCTTAATCTCCCCAAGAGACCGACAACAACAAAAAGACGAACACTCAGAGAAAAACCAGAGGTGGAAAATAACAAAAAAGAAAGAGAGGAAAAGAAGAATTTCAGAACAGAGAAGAGCGAAGACCCCTCCCCCAACCTTTACTGGCCGCGCGGCAGTGCGCCAAGCCGCCGGCCAGCCGGCCCGGCAGGGGCTGCCGGAGCCCCAGAGACACAGGGGGCTGCTTGCAGATCACCAGGTACCGGATTGCAGAACAGTGGATCGCCAGGAACAGAGAAACCTACCAGCCGGGAGTCTCCACGAGGATCCCACCCCCACCCCTCACTCTCCACCGGAGCGGAGAGGCTCCATCCCGCCAAAGCCGCCCGGCACCAGCAGCGCGACAAAGGGACCTGTCGGCAGACCACCCGCCCAATCGCTATCGCAACGACCCTGCGGGGGCCGCCCAACCCAGCCCGCAACCACCCCAACTGAACTCGGATTGCAACAACAACTGACGACCTACAGGGTGAGTACCCCACAGGGGACAGTGAATCCCTCAAGGGAGACCAGAGCTGGAGGGAATCCCCAGACCCTGACCTAGACTCCCTACCCCAATACCCGGACCACAGGACCCACTAAAACTGGGAACTGTTCGAGAGCTCCACCAGCCGGTGGAGCACACTCTGCTGGCCAGGCCAGAGCAAGAGCGCCCCTGGAAGGGAGCTTAAATGCCCAAGCCAGGAACAGCACCCCTGGGTCAAGACTACCAACAGTAGAAGAAATTTGAACTGTGTCCTCCAGGCTGCATAACCTAGGTGGTATACACATTAGCACAGGCCTAACGAGCGCGCTCCAGGCTGGGGCCTGAACCAGGCCCGGGGACCCGGCACCTGAACAACACAACCAACTCCTCCCAACTGAAGTAAAAAGCTGAGCATAAACCCGGGAAGCACACCTGTGACAACAAAAGACCTGGAGGCTCAGGACAAGAGAAGCCCAAACCCCACCAAAACTCCACCCATATACCCTAGGCTGGGAATTGGGCAACACAGGCTGCCAGCACCTGATAGTAAGCAGGAGCTCAGGCTGTTAAGGCGGCTCAGCAATAGAGTGATAGTCTTGGACGTATGAGGCCCTGGATCTGATTCCTCAGCATCACAAAAGCAAAAAGGGTCAGAAGTGGTGCTGTGGCTCAAATGGTAGGGTGCCAGCCTTGAGCTGAAGAGCTGAGGGACAGCACCCAAACCTAGAGTTCAAGCCCACAACCAGCCCAAAACAAACAAACAAAAACACATCAGGAGCCCATAGCAGACTCCAGTATTTGGAAGAGTGCATCCAGAGCATCTGAACTTCCCAAGAGCACCCGTAGGAGCAAACACAAGCAGTCAAGGCTGCTCAACCCTTCCAAAGGTGGGAATTGCCAGCAATCTACAGCAGAGAGCTGAGAATCCTAAGTAAGTCAGAATAGCAGCTGGAAATAGGCTCCCAACAGAATCCAGATCAGGCACAGACTCTCTCTACCAATACAGAATCAGCAACCAAGCAAAGACAGACACACCAAAACAAAATTGAAGAGCAGTCTCCTGAACCCCCATGCGAAAATCACAGAGAAAAATCACAAGGTTTACCACTGCCCAGGACAGCAAGCTCACCTCAAAAGCCAGCAGCCACGCAGGGGAGAGCCCCAGTGGGAGCAAAGCAAGAATGGAAGACAAAAGCTACATCCAAGGGTTGCTGGAGGCAATGACTCAAGAAATAAAGCGAGAAATGGATCAGAAATTGAAAGAGCACAAGGATGAACTATCAAAAGATATACAGGATATCAAACAAAAGTTGGATGCAAAAATAGAAGCTGCACAAACCTCAGTAAGAAGTGAGATAAACGCCAAATTAGAGGTAATGCATACTGATCTCACTTCATTGAGAGGTGAGATCAGTACTCTGAGAACCAACATTGAATCCATAAAGGGATCCATTTCCTCCATGCAAACCACAATAGAAGCCACGGTCAACAGATTGAATGAAATGGAAGGTAGAGTGTCAGATACAGAAGACAGAATACACCAACTGGACCAAAAAGTGACAGATATGGAAAAATCACTCAAATTAAACCAAAGGGAAATTCAAGAGCAAGCAGATAATGCTAAAAAATTTAACCTTCGCATAATCGGAGTGGACGAAGGTGAGGAATTCCAGAGCAAGGGAATGCAACACCTATTTAACAAGATAGTCAATGAAAATTTTCCTCACCTCAAAAACGACCATCTTAACTACATCACAAAAGCTTATCGAACACCCAACAAGCAAGATCCCAGGAGAAACACTTCTAGACACATTATAGTAAAAATGATGGATCTGAATAATAAGGAAACAATACTGCATGCAGCAAAAATGAAGAAGGAGCTATACTACAACGGGAAAAAAATTAGAATCACTGCAGATCTCTCCACACAAACAATGAATGCAAGAAAAGCCTGGGAAAGCACCATACGAGCCCTGAGAGCCAATAACTGCCAACCCAGACTGATATACCCGGCAAAGCTAGCATTCACATTCGATGGAGAACTGAAAACTTTTAATAGCAAAGAAAAACTAAATGAATACATAAACATTAAGCCAGCATTACAAAGAATTCTAAGAGGGGGGACACAACCTGAAGAAAGCAACCAGGAACTGGGACCTGCCCCAAACAGGCATTACTCAAAGTCTAACTGAGCAAGCACAGGAGGAAAGGAAAGAAGAAAAACTTAGGAAAACGGAATGGCGGGGACAACAATGCATCTCTCTATACTTTCTCTTAATATAAACGGGCTGAATTCGCCAATTAAAAGAAAACGAACTGAGGACTGGA